TTGAGGATTGAAATGAGGGATTTGCACATGCTGGGCAAGTGCTCTAACACTGAGTGAGCTACACCATCAGTCCCCAATCCTTGGGGTTTTGTGGTGGTTTCATTATGTATGCATGATTTAATTAGTGGCCATTGGTGATCAACTTAACCTTCCTGTTTAGTACATTTTTCTATAATATTTTTTATAATATAAAGATGAAATAGAGGGATGGGATATAGTTGAGTGGTAGCATGCTTGTGTAGCATGTTAAAGGTGTTGGGTTCCATCCCTAGCACTGTAACAGAAAAAAAAAAAAAAAGATTTAACTAGCACGGTTTACTTTGCATAAGGATAGTAGATTATTCTGTTTGAGGAGGTTGTAGGTCATACCTTTTGCCTTTCTAAACTTTGCAAGTGTCTTTTGACCACATTATTTTTGATTGGGCTAGGAACTGAAAATACTTTTCTTGCTACTTATTTCCAGGGAAAATGGTGAGTGTTGTGTTTCATGGTTTGTAATTGGAAGGACCTCTGGGGGCTTTTAAGTCAGAATTTTTTGTTTTCTCTTGCCAGGACAGGAAGATTTAGCTTATCTAGCTAAATCTGTTTTACTCATTAGAAAATTTACTAATTCTTTTGTTTTCCCCAAGATAATAGCAGTGTTTTATATTTCATGCATAATGTTTGTTATATATGCAAGATAAACATATCAGTGTACAACCTTTTTTCATCAGACAAGAGGACACCAGCTAGAGCCTGACCTGTCAGAAGAAGTGTCTGCCCGGCTTCGCCTGGGCAGTGGAAGCAATGGCCTACTCAGGAGGAAAATGTCAATACTTGAGTCAAAGGAAAAGAATTTCCCAGGCAAAGAGAAAGATAGAAGAACAGATGATCTCTTTGAGCTTCCAGAGGTATTGTTCCTCCTATTGGTCAGAATAAGAGGCTTATTTTAGAATAGCCAGTTCCTCTAAATATAAATGAGTATTTTGTTTTGAGGAATTTCTCCAGGTGGGAAATGAATTTGTGGGGAAAAAAAAATTGGACTCCAGGTCTTATCACTGTGGCTGCATTGATCATTGGTGGTCTGTGAAGGTGGCAGTTGGTGCCTTCTTCCCCCGCACCCCCATTTTTTTTTTTTCTCTTTTTGAGACAGGGTTTCACTTTATAGTGCAGGATGTACAACTCACTAGTTAGTCTAGGCTGATCTTGAACTCTTGGCAGTCCTCCTGCCCTCAGTCTCCCAAATGATGGGATTACATGATGTGCTACCATACCTGGCAACAATTGATTCTTTTTCTGCCCTTCAAATATTTTGAGTTTTATAATGTGGTATTAAGAATCAGTGTGTTGGGGCTGGAGAGATGGCTCAGCAGTTAAGAACACTGACTGTTTTTGCAGAAGACCTGGGTTTGACTCTCAGCACCCACACGGCAGCTAACAACTGTCCATAACTCCAGTTCCAGGGGATCCGACAGCCTCTTCTGTCCTCCACGGGCATTGCATGACAGAAGTGCATTTACTTACATGCAGGCTTAACACTCATACACATAAAATAAAAATAAAATATTAAAAAAAAAGAATGTTACAAGTTTTGAAGTTAGTAATTATGATTTATTAAAACACCCTTTTTTATTGATTATCGTATTTGAACATAGTAAAAGTTTATAAAAAATTAAGAAATGAAAATAGTTAAAAATTCTTATTTTAGGGCTGGAGACGTGGCTCAGTGGTTAAGAGCACTTGCTACTCTTACAAAGGACCCAGGTTCAGTTCCCAGGATCCACATAGCAGCTTGTAACTCCAGTTCCAGGACACCTTCTTCAGGCTTTTCTGGGCACCAAGCATGACTATGACACACAAACATACATACAGGCAAAACGTTCATGCACATAAAATTAAAACAAATCTTTTTAAAAAAATACCAATGTAAAGGTGATTCTTCATGACGAATCTTCCACTATTGTTTCTTGGCAGTGGGGGTCTTTCCTTTCTTGCAGACAGGTCTCACTGTAGTGGGATCTTACTTAGCGTGTATCTCTTGAGCACTTAGAGTACACTGGACATAGAGGTTGTTTTAGTTTCATTTCTGTTGCTATGATAAAAATATCTTGACCAAAAGCAAGGAAATCAGTGGCAGGAGCTTGAGACAGCTGACTATATCACATTCCAATCAAGAGCAAAGAGAGGGGCTGGAGAGATGGCTCAACAGTTAAAAACACTGGCCGTCTTGCAGAAGACAAAGCTTTGGTTCCCAGCACCTACATGGCAGCTAACAGCTATCCATAAGTCCAGTTCCAGGGGATCCAGTGCCCTCTTCTGACCTCTGAGGGCAATGCACAGCACTCAGTCAATACAGTCACACATAAAATATTTTTTTAAGGAAGAGCAAAGAGTAATATATGCATGCTCCCTTGCTCATGCTCAGCTAGACTTCTCCACTGTTACACAGTTCAGGACTCCCTGCCAGTGGTCTGGATCCTCTCTCATCCAGCAACTTAAGATAATCCCCCCTCAGACAGGTCCACAGACCAACCCAATGTAGATGCTCCCTCTTTGAGACTCTTCTCAGGCAATTCTGGGTTGTGTCAGGTTAACAAAGCTAACCAGGATAGAGGTAGAGAGGAAACCATATATAAACAAGTTTATGTGCAAAGGAGAGAAGCAGCAGTCAAAATAGTTGGCTGGAAATAATTTTGTTTGGGTTAATAGGCTAAATATGCACTTATCTGAATAACTTATTAGAATAATAAAGTCGTACATTTGAGGAGATAGCCATTATTAAGACTGCTTTGTAGTTTTAAGTTTGAATGTTTTATATTACAGTTTAATAGATTCTCAGATGAGATGAGAAGCCTTTTTCAGTCTCAGGCTCTCCATATCTGATGTAGTTCTATGTTAAAGTAGCTACTTTGTACCTTCTGACTCAGGATATGGAAAAGGAAATCAGCAATGCCCTGGGCCATGGCCCACAGGATGAGATCCTTAGCAGCGCTTTCAAACTGCGAATCACCCGAGGAGATATCCAGACCCTAAAGAACTATCACTGGCTCAATGATGAGGTAAGTTGCCTTTTTTTCTGTTTTGACTATCATTTTTACTTTACCATCTATAACCAAAGTGATTCCTACCCAAGTTATAAGGGGTTACTGGTAAAGCAACTTTAATTTCTGTTTTGCTGCCTTTTTTATTTTTTAGTACTGGGCATTGACCAAGGGCCTCACATATGCCAGGCAAACAAACACTCTACCACTGAGCTATAGTCTCAGCCCTCTTTTTTTTTTTTTTTTTTTTAACTGTTTAATTGGGACAGGTTCCCAACTGAGTAGGCCAGATACATCTTAAACCTTGTGATCCTCCTGCCTCACTTCATCCTATTGAATGACTGGGAGTATAGGCTTTCCCACCAGTCCTGGCTTTATTATTATTATTTTTATTCCATGTTGGAGATGAAACCTAGGGCCTTGTGCATGGTAGGCAAGCACTTTCCCACTGAGTTCTACATTCCCAGCCTCATACTTTTTAAAACACAAATATCTTAATAAAATTGTATTACTGTTCTGGCAATTAGAAAGCCTAATATCAGGGTGTCATAGCTCCCACTGCTGATGAAGGCCATGTCTTGTTTCTGTGACGAGAGGGAGCAGTGCTGTAGTTCTCACACGTGGAGAAGGACTATGGCCCTCTCCCTTCAACTTTAGAAAAAAATTTATACATATATATATATATCACACACACACACATATATATAATTTTTTTTGTCTATGAGTGTGTTGCTTGCATGTATGTAAGTGTACCCCTATTGTGCAATGCCCTGGAGATCAGAAGAGGGCATCATATCCCCTGGAACTGGAGTTATAGATGGTTGTTAGCCAACATGTGGGTGCTGGGAACCGAACCTAGGTCCTCTGCAAGAGCAGCCAGTGCTCTTAACTGCAGAATCATCTTTCTAGCCCTCTTTCATTAACTTCTTGTGGAGCACTAGTCTCTTCCATGAGGGCACTGCTCATGACTAACTCACCTCCTAATGCTGTCATGGCGAGAGCAGCTTCCAACAGAAGAATTTTAGAAGGGCTAGAAAGATGGCTGAGCGGTTAAGAGCACTTGCTGATTTTGCAGAGGACCAGTGTTTGGTTCACAACACCCATGTCAGGTGGCTCACAGCTCCAGCTCCAGGGGATCTCATGCCCTCTTCTGGCCTCTGTAGACACTTGTACTCATGTGTACATACATACAGACATACAGACATACACATAATTAAAAATCTTTTTTAAAATATTTTATTTATTTTTATTTTATGTATATGAGTGTATTGCCTGCATGTATGTGAGTGCACCCATGTCGTGCAATGCTGCGGAGGTCAGAAGAGGGCTTCGGATTCCCCTGGAACTGGAGTTAAGGACGGTTCACAGCTGCCATGTGGGTGCTGGGAATCAAACCCAGGTCCTCTGCAAGAACAGTCAGTGCTCTTAACCGCTGAAACATCTCTTTAAAAAAAAGAATTTTAAAGGAATATGTGTTCAAACCATAGCAATTAATAACTACAAAAAGTTTGCCTAATTTGCTATCTTATTTCCTTATATAATCAGCAAAAGCTTGCTTAGTTCTTACTAATTTTTCAGTTAGTCCCTTAGCCAACTGCTCAGTCGTTAACATTTTCTCCCATTGTCTCCTTCTCCTGTGTCATAGGCCTAGTTACCTAGAAGTACATTCTTTTGTAAATGTAATATGCTTATCATAGGAAAAGAAGTTATTGTTCAAATGTGCCATAAGTATTTTGGTATTTCTTCTTCCAGGAAATATGTTTGAATTGATATGTCATTTCTCTCCTTAATTTTCTTGCATATTTTTTGTATAATACAGTTGTATACAACTTTTTATTACTGCATAGATGCCATGGCTCTTAGAAATGTGGCTTATATGCTTCAAAAGTACAGTCACATTACTTAATGCTTTTTATTGGGAGGATGGTCCAGTTCTGGGAATTGAATCCAGGGTCTTGCAAGCTGTCTACTATTGAACTAAATCCACAGTCCTTCTATCTTTCTCATTTTAGGCTGATCGTTTTCTGACTTTTTCCATCGACAGTTTTTTTTTTAATTTATTATTTTTATGTGTATGTGTGTATTGCCTGCATGTAGGTAAGTGCGTAAGTGCACCCTTGTCATGCAGTGCCCACGGAGGACAGAAGAGGCTGTTGGATCCCCTGGAACTGGAGTTATAGACAGTTGTTAGCTGCCATGTGGGTGCCTGGGATTCGAACCTAGGTCTTCTGCAAGCACAGCCAGTGTTCTTAACCGCTGAGCCATCCCTCCAGCCCCAGATTATTGACAGTCTTTTTATCTCATTGTTAATACAAACTTTTCCCTCAGCATTTCACTTTCTAATTCATACTAATTCAATAGAAATTTAATTTTGTAATATATTAGCCATGTTCCAAATTTTACTCTTTTGGTATTTTACAGGTCATTAATTTTTACATGAATCTTTTAGTAGAGAGAAATAAAAAGCAAGGCTATCCAGCACTTCATGCCTTCAGTACTTTCTTCTATCCTAAATTAAAGTCTGGGGGTTACCAAGCAGTGAAACGGTGGACCAAAGGGGTAAATCTCTTTGAACAAGAACTTGTTCTCGTGCCCATTCATCGGAAGGTACATTGGAGCCTGGTGGTGAGTTGGAAAATTACTTGTTGGAGCTTGGATACAGGAACCCCGCCCCTTCTTCTCTTATTCTCTCCCTACCTCTCCTTTTCTCTTTCTCCCTCTCTCCCCTTTGTCTTTCTTTCTTCCTTTCCTCCTCCTCCCCTTTTCTCTAGATCTCTCCTCTCCCATTTCTCTCCCCTTCCCTTTACCCTTCCTTCTTCCCTTTCTCCCCTTTCTTGTCTTAGGGATTTATCCCTGAACCTCACATTTGCTAAGAAAACACTCTACTACTGAATTGCACTCCTAGTGTAGACTGTTTTCTTAAATGAAGGCTGCTTTCACTCTTTCAGTGAAAGGCCAACAACAGTATGTATGAAAGGCAACCTCTGCAGGGTCCCTTCCGTCCCTTTTATTTGGATGCTTCAAAAGCTATAAGACATGGTACTTTGAGGAGGAGTTTTCACTTTTAACAGAAGAATTTATCTGATTAGTTTTATTTATAAGAAGGTACAGGCTTATTTAGAAAAGCAAAGGTAAAGAGGGGACCAAATCCTATACTGGGAGGATTTACTGATTGTTTGATGAAAAGTTTAGGCCTTTATATAGGAATCGTATGTAATATTAAACTCATGCCATCTATGATGTTTATAACTTCAACTATGAAAAGGTTTTAAAATTTTTTCATGTTGGTACATGTATTAACATTAAAAAATTTTTTTTAGAAATAAAATCTTATTCATGTTCATATTTAAGATGCTTCTGGCATGTTATGGTTGCACACACCCATAATCCCAGCACTTGGGAGGCAGAGGGAAAAAGATCAGGAATTGAGGGCCAGACTGGGCTGCAGAGTAAGATCCTGTCTAAGCAAAATCAAACAAATAAAAAAAATGATATCTGAGGATTATTTGCATTTTCCCATTGTAGGTGATGGACCTAAGAAAAAAGTGTCTTAAATACCTGGATTCTATGGGACAAAAGGGCCACAGGATCTGTGAAATTCTTCTGTAAGTAGTGTCTGAAAATCTTCACCATTGTTTTGTTATTCCTTTATCAAATGATCTCTGTTTAATCCTAGGCAGCTCTAGATGACAGTCTTAATGTGTAATTAAGGCTGTCTTCCCAGTTCTTCAGGGCTTGATTAACTCCTTTTTGTCTAAAAACAACCTAATGGCTGATTTCAACTGAGAGCTCCTATGTTATAGCATCATTGAAAGCAAGTTTGTCATGTGTTACACTATAGAATATATCCTGTTAGAATCCATTGGTAGTATATTTCCTTAGGAATGATATATTATTTGGATGCTCTGAAAAACTGTTAGCTGGGGAGCATTTGCCCTGTACACCCTAAGCCAGCTCTTGGCACTCTGTTTGCTGTGATAGTTGGATTCATCTCATTGAATTGAGGGAAAATTTTTAAAATTAAGGTATACGATTTGTTCATGCAAGTGTCAGGTATGTATTCCAAGTGAATGTCTGAAACCACAGGGAGTACAGAGCCCTGCATGCTCTATGTTTTATTTTTCCTATGACTGAAAGCTAGTTTGTTCTGTGTTTTATGCCGTGAAACCCTTTGCATCATTATTTTTGTCTCTTGGGGCCATTTTTAAGTAAAATAATTGTTGCCCGAACACAAGTACTATGGTATCATGATAATAGGTCTGATAATTAGGGCAACAATTAAGTGCAGGTGACCCCTTTTCAACCAAGAAATTTTTCTGGATGGGGGCGATTTAAGACAGGGTCTCCCTCTAGCCCCCTAACTGTCCTGGAACTCGCAATGTAGACCAAGCTGACCTCAATCTCAGGAGATCCACTGCCTCTGCCTCTCATGAGTCTGGTTTCATGCCAGTACCATGCTATTTTATTAATATGGCTCTGTAGTATAACTTGAAATCATAACTCCAGCAGTATTCTTTTTGCTTGGCATTGCTTTGGCTATTTGGGGTCCCTTGTGCTTCTGTATGATTCTTAAGATAGGTTTTTTTTTTTTAATATTTTTGTGAAGAATGTCACTGGAATTTTAGTGGAGATTGCTCCATATTGAATTTGTACATTGCTTTCGGGAAGATAGCCATCTTCACAATACTGATTCTTCTAATCCATGAACATGGGGTTCTTTCCATCTTCTAGTGCTTTGCTCAGTTTTTTCTTCAGTTTTTGAAAATACTTTATTATTTTTATTTTATGTGTATGAGTGTATTGCCTGCATGTGTGTAAGTGTACTGTGTTATGCAGTGCATGGGGAGGTCAGAAGAAGGCATCAGATCCCCTGGAATTAGAGTTATGGATGGTTGTTAGCCCTTACATGGGTGCTAGAAATCAAACCTGGGTTGTCTTCTGCAAGAGCAGTCAGTGCTCTTAACCACTGAGCCATCTCTCCAGCTGCCCGAAGTTATCCTTTTTTTTTTTTTTTTTTTTAAAGGTCTTTTTGAGACAGGGTCTCCCTGTAGCCCCAGCTGGCCTGGAACTCACTATGTAGACCAGGCTGGCCTTGAACTCACAGACATCCTCCTGCCTCTCAAGTGCTGGAATTAAAGTCATGTGCCACCACACCCAGCTTTTTCTGGAATGTTTTAAAGTTTTTCATTATAGAGGTCTTTCACATCCTTGGTTAAGTTTGTTCAAAGGTATTATTTTTCTTGAATTGTTTCTGTGAATGGAATTATTTTCCTGATTTCTGTTTCAGTTTGTCATTGGTATATAGGAAAGCTAATGATTTCTGTTTGTTAATTTTGTATCCTGCCACTTGATGATAGTGTTTATCAGTGCTAAGAGTTTTCTGGTAGAGTTTTTAGGGTTTCATTATGGAAGCTTTTTTTTTTTTTTTTTTTTTTTGAAGATTATAATAGTTTTCAGCAATTTTAAAAGATGCTTAATGACATCATTGAAGAAAAAAATCACAATTTATAAAGAAAGAAATTACACTAACAGAAAAGGCAAAAGTACATTTATGAAGTCAGGTTAAATATCAAGAGTTTAAATTAAACTCTCTACTAAATTTATTATTTTGTTAAATCCTGAATTTAACTAAAAGCAAAGATTTATTCTTTCTCTTTAATTTATAAGGAAAAGGTGCATATTATGTTTATACATAATGTGTATCGGTTATTGAAATTTAATTACAAGTGCAATTAGGAAAAATATCTAAGAAGACTCTGGAGGTAGGAGGACAGAAGGCAGTGATGGGAACAAAAGGGTGGATAAACACTGCTCTAAAGCAAGTAGAGAATACATGAAGGAAACTAGTAGAAAGTAACATGGGTGACAATCAGAACACGAAACCTCGAACATTCTTATTTAAGTCCTGTGAACCAGTTAGTCTTGAGAGAGTCTAAGCATTCAGAGGGTTAGCAGCATCTGCAGGAACCACAATGCGGCCTGTGGGAAGCATCCCCTCTGCAGCTAAGATGCTTTGACTTCTTCCTTTCCTATTTGTATCCCTTTAGTTTGCTTCCCTTGCCTTCTTACTTGCTAGCTAAGACTTCCAGTGCTGTATTGAATAGAAGTAAAAGTGAGCACCTTGTCTTGGTTGTGATATTGGTGGAAATGCTTTGCGTTTTTTCCCATTTAATTGTTGGCTGTAAGTTTCTCATATAGAACCTTTGTTCCTTTTATTCCAAGTTTCTTCAGGACTTTTAACATGAAGTTACCTTCATGTTGAATTTTGTTGAAGCCTTTTCTGTGCCTATCACAATAACCATGTGATTTCTGTCGCTGAGGCCATTTATGTTATTTAAAACATTTTTCATTTACACATACTGAACCATCTCTGCATCTCTGAAATAAAATCAGCTTGATCATGGTGAGTGATCTTTTTCATGTGCTCTTTAATTTGGTTTGCAGGCATTTTGTTGATAATTTTTGTGTCAAAGTTCATCAGGAGAATTGGTCTTTAATTTTCTTTTTTGTTATGCTTTTATCTGCTTTTGGTATCAGGTAGTACTAACTTCATGAAAAGAGAATGGTAGTGTTTCTTCCTTCTCTATTTTATGGAATAGTTTGAGAAACATTGGTGCTAGTTTTTTGAAGGTCTGATAGAATTCAGCAGTGAATTCATCTGGGCCTGGATGGTCTTTTAGTTAGGAGATTTTTAGTTACTGTTTCAGTCTCACTACTTGTTATAGACTTAAGTTAAAGAGTTTATCTCATCATTTTGGTAAGTCATATACAGCTAGAAAGTCACCCATTTTTAGATTTTCTAACTTAGAGTATATATTATATTGTCAAGACAAGACCTGATGATATTTTGAATTTTGTTGGTATCTAATGTGATGGCTGTCTTTCATCTCTAGCTGTATTAATTTGATTTTTCTCTCTCTCTTGGTTAGTTTGGCTAAGGTTTATCAGTCTTGTACCTTTTCAAAGAGTCAACTCTATTTCATAGATCCTTGGTATTTGTTTCCATCTCATTAATTTCTGCCCTCATCTTAATGATTTTTCTTAGTTTACTGATTTGGGGTTTGGCTTGTTCTTTTTTTTTCCCCAGAGCTTTATTAAGGTATTTGTGATCTCTCTGATTACTTTTTTAAAGGTTTATTTATTTGTTTTATGTGTATGAGAGTTTTGCCTTCTTGTAAGTGTACCACATGGGTGCAGTGCCTGTGCCAGAAGAGGGAGTCAGATCCCCTGGAACCAGTTATACACAGTTGTTAGCCACCATGTGGGTGCTGAAAACCGAATCTGGATCCTCTAGAAGAGCAGACGTGTCCCTAACCACTGAGCCATCTCTCCAGGCCCTCTCTGATTTCTTCTTTTTTTTTTTTTTTCTTTTTAATTTTGTTATTTACGTTTCAGTTATGTGTATATGTTTTAGGGGGTATATGTACATGAGTGCAAGTGCCCACAGAAGCCAGAAGTATTGGATCCCCCAGGAACTGGAGTGGTTGTGAGCCACCTTAGATATGGTTGTAGGGAATTGAATTTGGGCTCTCTGGAAGAGCAGTATGTGCTCTTAACCACTGAGCCATCTCTCCTGCCCTCCTCCTCCCTGATTTCTTTTTCCTCTTTCTTTTTCTTTATGTCTTTTTTTGAGACAGTGTCTCCTTGTAGTGACAGCTAAATTGGAACCCACTATGTAGACTAGGCTAGCTTTGAGCTCACAGAGATCCACCTGCCTCTGCCTCCCAAGTGCTGGGATTAAAGGTGTGTGCCACCTTGCCCAGCATCTCTGATTTCTTAATGTTGACGCTTAGAGCTATGAACTTCCCTGTAGAACTGCTTTCATTGCATTCTGTAGGTTTTGGTATGTTGTGTCTTCATTTTTTCTTCAAATCTAGGAATGTTTTTATTTCTTTGATTTCTTCATAGACCCATTCATTGTTCAATAATGTGTTAATTTCCATTTTTTGTTGTTTGTGTATCTTCTAGGGTTTATCTTGATGTTGATTTGTAGTCTTATTCCACTGTGAGCAGAAAGAATATAAGGAATTATTTCAATTTTCCTGTATTTGTTAAGACTTGCTTTATATCCTAATATATGATCTGTTTTAGAGAAAGTTTCATGGACTGCTGAGAAAATTGTATATTCTTTAGTTCATTTTTGAATGCACTGTTCTGTAGATGTCTGTTAAGTCCATTTGATCTATAATATCAGGAGGTCATTTAGTTTATATATTTCTCCTTTTTTTATGGTCAGGATGGCCTGTCAGGTGCATCTGTGATTGGAGCATATATGTTTAGAATAGTAATGTACTGTTTTTAAAAAATACTTATTTTTATTATGTATATATGGTTGGGGTGAGGGATGTGCACCTCAATGCAGGTGCCTTTAGAGGCCAGGAGAGGGCATACGATTCCCTTGAGCTGGAGTTACAGGTGGATGTGAGCCTCCATGTGGGTGTGGAAACTGAATGGGTCCTCTGCAAAAGCAATACACACTCTTAACCTCAGCCATCTTTCTATCCCCTAGTAATGTCTTCTTGATGGATTGTTAAATAATGATGAAATAACCATCTTTATCTGTCCTCACTAGTTTTGGTTTGGAGTCTGTTTTGTCAGATGTTAAAACAGCGACACTAGCTTTTTCTTTCAGTCCATTTGCATGAAACACCCCTTTCTATCCTTCATCCTAAAGTGTTCTCTGTCTTTTGTGGTGAGGCTCTTGCTTTTTGATCCAGTCTACTAGTCTGTGTCTCTTAATTGGGAAATTGAGACCATTAATATTCATTATTATTAAAAGTTGTGTGTTGATTCCTGCCATTTTGTTGATTTTGTAGTATTTTTTTCCTCTTCTGCTATGTAGTATTATATTATTCTAGCTTAGCTTATTCTTTCCTGTGGCTTCATGGTGTATTTGTTTTTCTCTTCAGTCTAAAGGATTCTTTCAAGTGTCTTCTGTAGAGCTGACTTAGTGGTCATAAATCCCTGTATTCTGTTTTTATCATAGACTTTTTATTTTTCCTTCAGTTATGACAAATAGCTTTGCTGGGTATAGTACTCTGAGTTGGCAGTTGTTACATTTCAGAATTTGAAATGGATCATTCCAAGCCCTTCAGCCTTTTAAAATTCGAGGGAATAATCTGCTGTTTTTTCTGGACCTGCCTGTATATGTGGCTTGGTGTTTCTCTCGCTTTCAATTTCAATTTCCTTGTTTTGTGTATTTAGTGTTTTAGTTATAATGCGTTGAGGGATCTTTTCTGGCCTTGTCTGTTTGGTGTCCTAAGTGCCTCCTGAATCTGGATTGGTTTCTCTTTTCCTAACTCTGGGACCTTTTCCATTATGATTCTTTTGATGTTCTCTGTGCCTGTAGAATGAGATTCTGCCTCTTTCCTGCCTATAATCCATGGATTTGGTCTTCTCAGAGCATCATGTATATCTTGGAGTGCCCACTGGTTCCCACCTTATTATTATTTTATCTTTGTCCTTGTGTGATTGTTCCAGTCCCTCCACCTTAGCCTCAGGCTCAGATATTCTGTCCTTTCCTTGATCCGTTCTATTGCTGAAAATTTCCAGAGTAGAGTTTTTTAATTTGACTTGGTGTGTTTTATATTTCCAGCATTTAGATCTTTTTTTTAGTATTTCTATCTCTTTGTTGAATTCCTCTTTGACATCATCCATCATTTTTCCTTAATTCATTCAGCTATTTGTTTGTGTCTTTGAACATGTTTATAATCATTATTTTGAGTTCTCTGAGATTTCATCTAACTCACTCTCATCAGATACCATTGCTGTAGGGTTAATGAGTTTTGGAGGAATTATGTTGGCTTTGTTTTTCCTGTTCCTTATGTTACTGTGTTGGGCTTTATATATCTGGTGTTATTTCTTTGCTTGGTTTATCTGTTTTATTAGCTATATTCTTTTGGTTGAAGTATTGGCAGTGTTCAGGCAGGACTTGGATGTGGTAGCATTGAGTGTGTAGTTTAGAAAATACTTCCTTAGACCAGGGGCCTGGTATACGCTCTGTGTTATTCCCTGAGTAGAACATTACCTGGGAGAGCAACCCCAGCTATGTGATACTGCCATTGTGCAATCAGCATACTAGCCAGTTAATAGCAGTGGCCCTCTGACTTCAGTGACTGTGGGAGGATGAACAACCAAGAACAGTCTGGCATGTACTCGGATTTCAGTAAGAGTCGGACTGGGAGGGAAGTGGGATGGGTGAGGATAACAACTCTGTGTTAGATTAACTTTGAAAACAGCTGAGGTGCGTCAAGTAAGTAGGGATTTGGGACCACAGATTTTAGACGGTTAAAGCTGTGGAAGGCTATAATTAAGACCTAAAAAGAGGACGGGTAAGGATGAGAGAAAGAGGAAAAGAGGTAGGAATAAGAAGGGGGAGCATTATGAGAAGTGGCTGAGAGTAGAGAATGCCTTGTAGTCAACCGGGCAGAGAAACAAACAACAACCCTAAAACCTAACCCAGCAATATACAAACATGAGTAAAATCATCATGAGGCATGTCTGTGAGAGCAGACATTAAATAACAGAAAGTAAGGGATAAAAAGAGCATTTGTGGAAAGCGTTGCTAGCACAGCTGCTCTGAGTTGAAAGGTGAAATTCTCACATCCCTCTGGTTCTAGTAGGTTCCACATGGTACTATGTGTGGGAGGAGTGAGTGAGAGCCTTGGTCTCTGCAGCCTGTATGTCCTGTGTGGTTCTGACATGAAGGGAAGGGAGGTTGTAAGTCTTTCCTGGTGTTTCCTCAGACCTCTGCTCCACTGTGGCCTCTTCTGGTCCTACAGGTCTGGTGTATGTGAGGAGCAACATTTCCCCTGCAGCTCCACTGCTCTATCCTGGGCAGCTTTATTAGGCAAGCTAGAAGACCAGTATGGCACCTATTAGAGACGTGGTGGTGCTCACCTTTAATCCTCCCACTTGAGAGGGCAAGGCAGGCAGATTTCTGTAAATTTGAGACTAGCCTACTCCAGGTCAGCTGGGGCTACATAGCGAAACCCTGTCTCAAAAAAACCAAAACGGGCTGGAGAGCTGGCTCAGCGGCCAAGAGCAGAGGACCCAGGTTTAATTCCCAGCACCCACATTGTGGCTAACAACCGTCTATAACTCCAGTTCCAGAGGATCCAACATTCTCTTCTGACCTCCTCGGACATTGCATGACATAGGTGTACTTACATGCATGCAGGCAATACACTCATACACATAAAATAATAAAAATAAATAAAACTAAAAAATCAAAACAACACAAAAACAAACTGGAGAGGGCTTCCAGTTGAACTGTGATTCTCAGCTTTCCTGCTTGCTTCCCTGCAATACTCTCCCCTGACTTAAGTTCATTTACAGACCTTGTCTCTTACAGGGTAAGATAGTGCTCTGTTGTCCTTACTTTTTGTGTTTGTTTTTTGTCAGGGTCTCCCTAGCCCCAGCCCACCTGGAACTTACCATGTAGCCCAGGCTTGCCTGATCTCATAGAGATCTGCTGCCTCCGCCTCCTGTGTGCTGGGATCAAAGGCCTATACCACCATACCTGGCGTTTGTTCTTGTTTTGAGACAATCTTGCTATGTAGCCCAGGCTGCCTCAAACTTAGACTCCTCCTACATTAACTTTGTGAGTCCTAGGATTAAAGACTTTCACCACCATCATGAGATGTTGAATCACTTTTCAATAGACTATAGTATGAATTATTAGAAGTGTGTGTGGAGATGATACAGAGAAATAGAAGAATGCACAGTGGCTTGGTAATAGTAACTCCTTCTAGAGTGCCTATTGTAGGGGCTTCTGTTTTTTCTCTTTTTTAAAAAATTAAAAAAAATTATTGTTTTATGTGTATGAGTGTATTGCTTGCATGTGTATAAGTGCACCCATTTCATGCAGTGCTCACGGAGGTCAGAAGAGGGTGTCTGATCCCCTGGAACTGGAGTTACAGACAGTTCTCAGCTGCCATGTGGGTGCTGGGAATCAAACTCGGGTCCTCTGCAAGAGCAATCTGTTCTCTTAACTGCTGAGCCATCTCTCCAGCCCCGGCTTCTGCTTTTTCTTTTGTTAAATAAGCATTCACAATATCTTTTAATGTGTATACTTTTTATTAGCAGGAAAAATAAAAATCAAAACACAGTTACATTTCTATCTAATGGATACAGGTTTGGAATAGCATCCCCACTAAATAAACATCAGAATCCTTTGTGATTACAGTAGTTGGTCTCCTGGGACTAGTGATTCATTTTTTGTTGTTTTCTTTAGTCAGTATTTACAGGATGAAAGTAAGACCAAAAGAAATACTGATCTCAATCTCTTGGAGTGGACCCACTACAGCATGAAGCCACATGTAAGTGATAGTCATCTGTGTTTCACATACTTTGTGTTTATTGACAGTATTGTGTTATTCAGACTTGGAATCTTCCCTTTTCTTCTTCACTCATTCCTTTAAGCATGCATTCTCCTAAAGTATACTGTGTGTGTGTGTGTGTGTGTGTGTGTGTGTGTGTGTGTGTACCTCTAAGGATTGAGCTTGGGCCTCGTGGACGCTTCAACCCTAGTCTTAAAGTACTTGTCTTAAAAAGGACCTATTTCTGAATCTGTAGCATTGTAGCATTTATCTTGCTTTAGATTTAAATGTTTTAGCTGTGTTGCTTGGGGAAATCCAGTCTCAGTATTTGAGAATGGACCCCAAGGTACTGTGAGACCAGAGGAAGACCCACAATTACAGAGGCAGTTTACTGGTCCCTAAGGACAAAAGCATGGTGTGAGGTGGCAGCCAAACCGTGGGTCACCATGGTTGGCTCAGAAGGAAGGGGATTATTTAGTGGTCACAACAGAAGTGACTCCATCCAACCCATAATTATCTGGTTTACCTCAAGCTGATATCAAAGACTTTTTGGCACCTTCTATGCATTCACTATGTCAGAGTCTAGTTATAAAGCTGTATATATCACTCTGAGGTCTTTGTTTATAGTCTGCTGGGAAACTGTGTGAGGAAAACTGACCAGGGTTAAGTCAGCCTCAGTTATAATTACAATTCAAGATGGTTACTGTAACGTCACGTCATGCCTTTACATATATCCCTAGGATATCTCTTACAGAACTGAGATGGTAAAAAGTTAAACCCAAACCTATAGTTCTAAGTAAGCTACTTTTCTTGATTGGTGCTAATGAGAGCTGAAAGTTCTTGCCTGCAGTTCACCTGGGGCTTTGTCTATTTAGGCCTTCACCCCATGGGGCACCACGAGCCAAGTATGCTAATTGTGAATGTCTCTCACCAGATTGGAGCTTCATTTCAGTGTCTGTCATAATGACTCCTCTTTAAGCTCCATGCATTCAGTTTTAGCCCTAACCTCAACATGACGGCTCAGCTATTTCCATCCAAAAGCATTTCATTACTAAACTGAGTAATTTTAAAGCGAAGCCTTGAAATTTCCTGAGGAGAAGACAAGTATAAATAGAGTCTTTTAGGGTAAATACAGTTTCCTGGTGTGAAAGATGTAATGAAAAAACAAATACCATTTCTTTGTATTGGACTCTAGTTCTGCCACTCTGGAAGCACCAGTCTTGTGAAAACTATGGGCGGCACCTAGCACATGTCTGCATGGTTTGCATGGTCCCTGTTCTTTTTTTCCAATAATAAGTGCATTTGGGGGAGTAAAAAAGGAGCTGTCATCATCTAATATGTGGTTAAGCAGTTGGAGCAAGCCTCTCCCAGCCAATCTCTTGCTCTTTATGACTAACTGCCCAAGAATATAAAGGGCTAGCCGAGGTTGGGACTCCACAGGCTGGGCATCCAGCTTATCACGTACAGATTTGGAATCTACCAAACTTTCGTCTTCTCATGCTCTTAGAGCTTCTTACATCAGGTCGTATGTCTGCCTCCAGGACAGGAGCGACCACTCAAGACACGAGCCTAGTTGATTAAAGCCTCTCAGAGGTGGTTTCTCCTTCTCACTGGAAACGGGGGGTCCTGAGCAGTGGGCTGTAGTTAGAGAAGGTAACCTCTTGTGGTATTGAAGGTAGTTCCTTATGTTTTAGGCATATCTAACTAGCCCACATTTAAGCCTTTTTTAAAGTTTATAATGCTTCTGAAATAATTTTGACTAGTATTCTTGTTCCTAGTAATAAATCTAATTTCTTTTTCCTCCCCTCACCATGTATGGTAGGGATTGTTTTTAGTAGAACTCTTCATTTTGTTTACTCTTTCATGAAATATTTTCTGTGGGGTCTCGTACACTATATTATGATTAAAGTTTTTATGCCACAAAAAATTAAAAGTAATTATGTTAGCTTACGTATCTGCGTTTATACAATACCTGACTTAACATTTACTTTTGTAATATTGTGTTTTTCAGAATGATATAGAGACTAAGGAATTTATATTTAATAATATTTTTCTTCTGTTTTTAATTTTAGGAGATTCCTCAACAGTTGAATGGGAGTGATTGTGGAATGTTTACTTGTAAATATGCAGATTATATTTCTAGGGACAAGCCTATCACATTTACTCAGGTGAGTAGAGGCTGCTGCTCACGTGTGTATCTGTTCCTGCTGTGCTTTGGCAGTGTCTGGCACACTTCAGGCTCTTAGTTACAGTAGTTGCTTTACTGCAGCAGTATTGCTGTGGACTGTGGGTATGGCCCTGCTCTGGCCAGAATCAGGGTTTTTCATAGGGTTGTCCTGTTCTTGGATGGCCAGTAGGACAATTTGCTTGTCTCCGAGCTCCATTTTTTACTGGTTCATGCTTATTACTGTTATTTTTAGCTAGAGGAAGGCATGTGAGAGTATATGACAGCAGGGGAAAAGTTGGGCCTTAAGTTGGGTATTAAGATAGAAGCATGGGGGAGCTTGCCAGCTGCCGCCCCTGACAGGCCAGGACCATGGCGAACGTGGAGCCCATCCTGAGCCTTGAGCCGCAACACGAGCTCAAATTCCAAGGTCCCTTCACTGATGTCACCACCAACCTAAAGTCTGGCAACCCAACTGACCGAAATGTGTGTTTTAAAGTGAAGACCACAGCACCTCGTAGGTACTGTGTGTGGCCCAACAGCGGGGTCACTGATGCTGGTGCCTCTTATCAATGTATCTGTGATGTTACAGCCTTTCAATTATGACCCCAGTGAGAAAAGTAAACACAAGTTTATGGTTCAGTTTATGTTTGCTCCACCTGACGCTTCTGATATGGAGGCCGTATGGAAAGAGGCAAAACCGGAAGACCTTATGGACTCCAAACTTCGATGTGTGTTTGAATTGCCAGCAGAAAACGACAAACCACATGATATAGAAATAAATAAATCGATACCCACAAGTGCATCCAAGACAGAGATGGTAGTAGTGACGGCTGAGTCCCTGACTTCCTCCCTTGATGATGCCGAGGTGAAGAGGGTGATGGAGGAGTGCAAGTGGCTGCAGGAGAAGAGCAGCTCAAGGAAGAAGATGGGCTTCGGATGAGGAAGGCACTGCAGAGCAACAGCCCCATGGCTGCACTGGCTGCCACTGGGAAGGAGGAAGGCCTCAGCACCCGGCTGCTGGCTCTGGTGGTTTCGTTCTTTATTGTGGGTGTCATTATAGGGAAGATTGCCTTGTAGAGGCCGCATGCAAAGGATGGCAAATTGGATTGATGGATCCACCACATCATGGGATTTAAATTTATCATAATCATCCATAAAAAGAAATTAATGTATGATGACATCTCACAGGTCTTGCCTTTAAATTACCCCCCCCACAAATATAGCATAACATAATGATCTTTTAAGAAGTTAAAAATGTATAATAAATGGGTGGAGGAAGAATGATCTGCTAATGACAAGAGACACCATACTTAAAGCCGCAGTGGCATATTGTAGCTGTCACGTTAATCATGGGTAGACCTTGGCACGTGCTGCTGGATCACCGTCTTAAAGCAAGCCTCTCTTCTTCACCTGCTGGGGCTGGCCCGTGGGAGCAGGAGCCCAGTGCGATGAGGCGGGCTGTCCACTCCACATTCACCCCATGCTGCTTGTTCCCACCTAGGCAGCTCCCCCAGGTCTGCAGTTGTGTGCAAGCCATCGGTTCCTCAGGATCACAGAGATACAGAATCCAAAAAGCATAGCACGATGGCCACATCTTATGTGTCGTTGGTTGTGATTAAGAGGCACGTGTGGACTGACCCAACCAACACTTGGCAATCAAAGTCTGTGCTTTGTTCTCTTACAGGGACCAAGCTAAATTACTGTAGGTTCATGTAGTGAAACTGAGCTGTTACTAGAGACGTGCACTGCGTATTTAACTTATTTAATGTATTTCATCTCGTGTTCTCATTGTCAAGAGTAGTCAGAGCTGCGGCCTGGAAGTCACCTGTGCTGCAGAGCCCCAGTGGTGGGCTAGCACTACTGTGGACACTGGGGCTCTCTGCAGGCTCTGGGTATGAGGAGGGTCTGTCCAAGTGTCGGGGGATAGTGTCCAGGAAGCATTTTCTGTATTGATCAGTAAGAGCTGTCCTGGGTGGGACATTCTTTGCAGTGACAGTTGGCTCTGGGCTACCCAGCCTTCTAGATTGTTCTTTCACTCTCAGCCAGCCTCATCCTTCCAGCACACAGGCCAAGTCTGACTTGTCCTCAGAACGAATGAGTTGGGCTGCCCAAGTGAGGGGCACGGAGGTGGGGATGGGGAGTGGGCGGGCTCCTCAGCAAATCTATTTGCTGGTAATGGAGAGTCTTGACTGTGAATTAATTTCATGCCGTAAAAGACCAATCCAATTCTGTTCAACTATGTAGCATCTTAAAAAGAAGAAATTAAAATAAAGGCCCCCCCCCAAACGATATATGCATGATGGGCTGGAGAGATGGCTCAGCAGTTAAGAGCGCTGACTGCTCTTGCGGAGGACTCGGGTTTGATTACTAGCACGCACATGGTGGCTACGAACCATCTTTAACTCCAGTTCCAGGGGAATCCGAAGCTCTCTTCTGACCTCTCTAGCATTGCATGATACAGGTACACTCACATACATGCAGGCAATACACTCATAAAATAAAAAAATTAAAAAAAAACAAAGATACAAGCATGAATGAACACTGCTTCCTTAAGGTTAAGAATTCCAAAACTCTGCATTTAAGAGGAAACTGAAATATGTCAGGAACTTTTTAGAATTTGTTTCTAACAGTGGATTCTCAATCTTTTTTCACCCAAGGCTAATTAACCCCCATCAATATTTCCCACCCATAGACCTCAATTTGATAGCTCCTGTCTGCCAGACAAACTGAAACCCCATTCTATGCTTTGGAGGAACAGATGCAACTAGGGCTCCCATGCTGAACTCACGGAATTCCATTCTCAAATGAACCACTTATTATTGTTTAGTCTCAGCAGTTTTGCTGAGAATAAATGTAATGTTTTACTGGATTTTATCTCCTGATGGGGTCTCAGGAGGTATAGGCAGGAGGATTAAGATTATCCTTGCTAAGAAAACACAAATATCATTATGCTTCAGAAGTTTATACCATGATATAAAACGTATCTTACTTTATTTACATGATGACACTTCAGGGTTGTGGTACTGTGCACATCAGTGTTTAATGCTGTGTTGTTTGTGGACTTCTTTACAGCACCAGATGCCTCTCTTCCGGAAGAAGATGGTGTGGGAAATCCTTCATCAGCAGTTGCTGTGACAGTGTCCCACCTGGTCCTTCTAGCTGCTGGTGGTTCTTTCATGGATGTTTCCATATACCTCATGCATTGTGGGTTAAAAAGTCCCCGCATCATTTCTGTTTTCTCACAGGTACTGAGCTGTTAAAAGTGCATGAAGGCCTCTCCACTGTATCTCTGACCTGAGGTGTGGAGGGGCTGCTTGCAACCCTGTTTGTAAGGCTGTGCCTGCTCAGAGCCTTGGACTGTTCAACCCATACAAGAACAAATGCTAACTAATGTTTCCTGTTTTAAAGAGTTATTTCCATATGAATGTAGGAAATGCAGGATTTGTTCTATGAATTGTTTTGGGTTTTTTTGTTTTTTTCTGTGTATTTACACATATTCACTCATTTGCAAACATTGGGCAGTGGCATTTTTTTCACTGCTCTTTTATAATTAACTATAAATTACTTATTTGAATTATTTATTTCTGAAAGGAATGTTAATCAAACTCCTCCCCCTGCTGCAGGGAGAGGAAGGATGAGTTCCCTAGCTTCTCTAATGCTGGAGCTGGAACTGCCACCGTGAAGTTAAGGTTCTCTTTGGAGGCTTGAAAATGCCAGAAGAAATGACAGACAGATGCTGTGTTGTAGGGATCTGGCTGCCTTCCAGAGGAAGTCTGCTGATATAGCACAGACTGGGTTCATAGAAAAGCAAGAATGTGGCCAGAACTTGGTCCACATCCTCAGAACTGTGTCATGGTGATCTTAAAGAGACTTCCCTTCCTGGAACTGATGTAACCTGGCTTACTTTTAAAACTGGATTCAAAGTAACTATACCCTAGATGTTTCACCCCAGTCTGGTTGAGTATAAACCTCAGAATTGTAAAGGGCTGGCCTGAGCCATCTGTTTCTGAAGAGACTCCTCAATTTAAAACTATTTTTCCTCAAAGTTTCCTTTTCTATGTATTAAGCTGAAATTAAATTCTTTTCTCATTAGCGTGCCCCACTTCAGTCCCACTGAAATCTGTTGAGGAAGATTTGTCTCTGAGGTTGTCAGTTTTACAGTAATCTATTTTGGATATGAAAGTTTGTATTTAACTTTTTGTTCATTAAAAATCTTACAGATGTGGTTATGCATTTTTAATTTCAGAAAGTTGGTCAGAACATACTTTGGAAGACCTAGTGCCTAGTGTTGCTTTTATGATGTAATAAAAGACTGGCAGAACCTAAATGGTGTACGCTGGAATCATTTCTCATCCTTTTCCTGCTTTGCCCTTTCAAGCTTGTTCTGATACATAAAAGCAAGAGGTGAGGCTGGAAAGGTTGCACATATGTTAGTGGTGAGTAGGCATATCTGCTCTTTGGAAGCTGTGGGTGCTGATCTCAGACTGGTTGTAGCTGTTGTAACCTGTTTTCTCTCAGACTTGAGAAAGCCAGGGTATGGGAGCTAAAGGCTTGTTATTTGGACTGAAACAGCTGGACCTACTTGATGGCCAGACCATAAACCAGGTGCTTCCTCCTAGTGATTCGAGGTGAGCTGATTGTGCTACATCTACCTTAAGGACAGGCTACCTAGAGACCCCTTCCTATAGCCCTTATCCTTTTCCTGGAAATTGGGCCAGTTAGTACTGGATCAAGCAGCTGATAAATAGCCCAAAAAACCCCGAAGTGGGGCTGGAGAGATGGCTCAGCTGTTAAGTGTACTGGCTGCTCTTGAAGAGGACCGAGTTTGTTTCCCAGCACCCACATAGCGACTAACAACCATCCGTTACTCCAGTTCCAGGGGTCTGACGCCCTTTTCTGAACGCTGGCATTGCATGCCACGAGTGCACTTAACCATGCAGGCATAATATTCATACACATAAAATAAAAATAAAGTTAAAAAAAAAAAAAACAAACCCAGAAGTGGACTGGGTCTGCATTGTATTAAAAACCTGGGTCTTGCCAGGCATGGTGGCACGTACTTTTAATCCTAGAACTTGGGAGGCAGAGGCAGGAGGATTGCCATTTCAGGCCAACTTATTACATATCAAGTACAAGCCAGCCAGGGCTACATAGCATGACCCTATCTAAAAACAAACAAAACCTGACTTGACTTCTAATTGGTGTGTGTATGCCAGCTGCAGCGCCATCTTTAGAGCCCAGAAGGGGGAAGTGGAGGGACCTCCTAGAGAGACTCCATTTACTAGTATTTTTCCATTGTGGTTTACAAAAGCAGACCGCTGGGAGCACTGGAAATATCCCCCCCGTTCTGTGTTACTCTCACTACCATTGAGCTTTACTCCAACACTGACGGATTATTTCAGTTTCTGCTTAGCTTATAACTTGACAATTTCTCTTTCTGTGTTTACTTGTTCTTAAAGTCTGTCTTTAGGTGCTCTTAAGCTTTTATTTGTGTTGGTATTTAATAAGAGATTATTAGTGTTGGATAGGCGTGTCCTCTGAAAGAGCTAGCACTGAACCCTAAGAGTCTCCGTAGACACAGGCGGAGACAGGCGCCCCCCCCCCGCCCCCAATCTGACAGCTTCAATGGCATGAGAGGGCGGGTCTAAGGACAGGCACGGAGGAAGTCAGGAGCCAGCGGAAGTCGTCATCGTGGGCTTGGAGGCGGGCGGGACCGAAAGTTCAGCCGAAATGTAGGGGAAAGAGCCCACAGGTGTATACCTTTGTAAATAATTCCCTTCCGGACATCATAAATATATTTTTAAAAACCCGAATAGAATGCATTGTGTTGGTTTTGTCAATTGGGCGCAGAGACAGCTTGGGGCCTGGGAGCTGAGAAGGACTCACGGAGCCAAGCGCGTGGGCCTCCCAGGAGAGACTATGGTGTTACAGATGGAATATAGCTTCTTTTTTTTTTTTTTTTTTTTTTTTTTGGGGTAAAAAAAAAAAAAAAAAAAAAAAGAGGACGATAAATCTTTCACTGTGATATATCAAAATAA